CGTCGATAAACTGTCGATAAATCGTCGGGACGCCGATAAACCGTCGAAAAATTGTCGATAAACCGTTGGGACGTCGATAAACTGTCTATAAATTGTCGATAAACTCCCGCTCACTGGACACTGTATACAATTTTTTCGTCAACTGTCGCTCACTGCTAAATTACCAACGATGACTTACGATGACTTATGCGCGGCTCTCCCGGAGTGAAATTGCGATCGCCGGATAGTCTTCGTCCGCGTCGGAACAAAAACTTGCCGAGCGAAGAAAACTCCACGTGAACGAGTGGAAGTTGGTTGAAGGGAGGGGGAAGAAAAGGAATCCCTCGCGTGAATGTACACCGGCCACGAAACGATGTCAGTTAGCCCGCGTACTAAATCGGAATACCTGCCAGTACCAAGCATGCTAGGCGGATATCGCGTCCAGGCCGATCTCCCTCCATCGTTTCGCAACCTGCTGTGCAGATACCGGTACCGCGAGCAGCCACCTTCTTTTTTTTTTTCCACTCATCTCGAACTCGATTTTTTTCCTTTCTGTCGATCTTCCTGCCGGAAGAAAGTTGAAAATAAATCCGTGAACGTGTTGCATGGAACAAAGTCGGTGAAACGTGGGTTGGTTACTTTGAAACGATTTGGGACGAGTCCTTTGAAAATTAGAAAAAAAATATATGTATAATATATTATTACTATATTAATTAAATGTCGTGAAAGAAAACGTTTGCTTCGCTGTTCATCGAAAATCAAGGATCGAATGGTAACTCTGTAACCTTGCTTTACATTTATTCATTATTCTAGGAATGAAAGATATTCTTGATCGTTAAGTTGAAGGGATAAGGGAATTAAAAGTTGAAATTGTACAGTCGAAATTTAATGATAACTTTGCTAACAAAATTTGTTAATATTTAAATGTCATTTTGGGACACACGATAAAATATTTAATTATACAGGGTGTCCCAAAAATGTTGTTTTTCTCCTTTTTAGAAGTCGGTTGAAAAGGATTGGAGAGTTGTTTAGGAGAGAATTATAGAATAACGGAATGTAGTAAAATTATAATTTGTATATGTAGTAGTATGTAGTGAAGTTAACAGTACGTTTAGGTGTAGAATTATTAATTCTGGGCTTCTGTAATGAATTATTTGTAACTATACTGTTGATGTTTCGGGGAATTAATATTTTTTTATGGATAGATGAAAAATAATAACGTTAATTAAAGTATGCTTTGTCTTTTGAATGTTGTAACGTGAATATTTTATATATTTGTGCATTTGCATTTTCCAAACATATCGTATATTTTCTTTTAATTACATTTGTGATAAACGCATAAATATTCGCGGTCCATCTATGACTTTAGTTCAAACGTATATACTTAATTTATTAAGTATGAAGAATATTAAGAGTAAATAATTTGTTAATTTATAAATATTCGTAATTTTGGTACAAGTACAAACCTTCTATGTCCCCAACCTGACGGACATTATTCTTATTGTCATTCTTTATAATTATTGTGATTATTAAGCAGACTTGTAATCCGTTTGAATAATAATAATTAGCAACAATGTATGGCTTCCAATCTTTCTATATATATAGATATATATACGTTGTAATCATTCTAATGGAGACTAGGTCGAGAATCTAGAAAGTTGGCAGTTCAATATACAAGGTGTCCCACATACTCCAACAAAATGTTAGAGGTCCTTGAAATGGGTCCTTTAACAGAAAAGCCCGGGAGGTGATTTCAAACAACATTTTCGCTAAGGAAAAAGTTGTTTCAAATCACCTCCCGAACCATCTCTTTCAAGGTGTTACAACGTTTTTAGAACACCCTGTATATACATAGTGGAGGTGATTTGAAACAACTTTTTCCTTAGCGAAAATGTTGTCCGAGGCTCCGTGACGGAGATATTAACGAAAAACCCCGGACCAATCAGAGCGCGTATGCCGGCGGAGGGCGGCCGCCTAGCACGCAGTCTACGCCTACCGCGGGTGCACCGCCGGCACGTTCGCGCTCTGATTGGTCCGGGGTTTTCTGTTAATATCTCCGTAACGGAGCCTCGCACGACATTTTCGCAAAGGAAAAAGTTGTTTCAAATCACCTCCCAAATTTCCCCTTTCATGGACCTCCAACCTTTTTTCGAACACCCTGTAGAATTGTAGATAATTAAATAATTGGTACCTATGTTATCGATTCAATGTTGAACAATCGCAAATACTCGAACCACTCGTTTCTAGGACCTCCAACACTTTTAAGACACCCTGTATATTGTATACATGTATATATTTATAAAAAATATTATTCCAGTATATCAAACCTATTATTTAATTTAAACACATGTCTTCCTATCAGTATTTATGGAATTGACTTTATACAGGGTGTCCCAGAAATGACTTTCAATATTTTTGGAATTTCGAAAATTAAAATCCAAGAAAATTATATTTCTCTTCCTACCGGACGAAAGCTGAAAGTAACCTTTTCTTTCAAGGACTTTCAATATTTTTGGAATTTCGAAAATTAAAATCCAAGAAAATTATATTTCTCTTTCCGACATCACCTCCGACATTTTTGAGACACCGTGTATAATAACACAACGACGAATAAATATTTCTATCTAAACTAGAGTTAGAAACGATTGAATATGAAGGTACAATAACAATTTCTACATATAATATAAATAATTGAATGTTTAATAAAACTACAGAATTAATTTCTACACCCAGTATATAACCGCTGTCAATTATTGGATAGGATTGGCTAAATTTGTTCCTCTTTTTTTTTTTGTTCAATTTGAAATAAACTACCTTGCGCGCAATAGCACATAAAACAGGAAAGTAACATTACACTATTACCTGCTTAATCTCGATATGAAACTACTTCAACAAACGAAATCTCAATAAAAAAATATATATATATACGTGTCGAATTCAGTAATCTCCTCCTTTTCGAAATCGGTTAATAAAAAAGTATTAGTCGAATCAAGCAATTTGCTTTGTTCCCTATAAAATACTTTCTATTTTTGTATTTGAAACATCTTTACTATATTACATAAAATACAAGAAAATTATATTTTTTAAACTAAAATTAGCACGTTTAGGAGGACACACAAATTTAGACTTAATTTAATTTCTTTCTTTCTTTTTTTTATACAAGGGTGTTGAATTTGAAAGTCACCATCGGTTTCTTTTTAATTAGTAGCATTGTATACTTTTCAATATACATAAATGTAGATCGTGTTCTGTTGAATACAATGACCAGTCACTCATGGTAGCCACGACAGGAAATAATAAATTTATTCTGTTGCGGCATCGTCCAACAACAGATACAAAACGAAAACGACTGCTTTCGATGAAATATGCAATATTTCTAGAAAAACAAATTTCTGGAAAAAACTGATTGCGATAGACAAATTCTAATTTCAGATGTCTATTTCATACATCAAAATTTATAAAATATACCTAGTTTTATCTGAGGAAGGATTTTACTATCAACGATACATGATAATATTGCTCCTAAATTAACTTTTAATAACTTCAATTGTTCATCTTCTAAAAACCTATAAAATACACTAGAAATATTTGAAGATAGTGGAAACAACATTTAGTTTGTCGAATAGATAAATTCATTATAATTATTTAAGTGTTTATATCATGTAAATGCACTGTAATAATACAGAGCAAGAACGATATATACAAAATCACTAAAATTGGAGAACTATTTAAGTTTATAATTATAGTACCAAATTATAGATAAATTATAGTAGTGGTTAAATAATCTTTCTGACAGGTAATGCTTTCTAAAAATTATAAAATCGATTACGTTTTTTTTTAATCAAAACCTACATTTTCTGTAAATATATTTATGTAAATAGAAACAACATAATGAAATTAATTAAATTACTAGAATACGACTCTATTTGAAATCATATATTTAATTATTACCTCACTATTGATATCATTCATGTAAATATTTTTCTATCAATATTACTCTTTGCTTCTTTACTATAATTTTTTCTGTTAAAAATATAATATACATCATGAAAAAGTGTAATACTCTAGTAGTAACTGTACAATGTTTCTTTCTTTGCATCAAACAAGTTTTCCTTCTTCAGCTTTCCTTTATCAGCAAAAGTAACGGAGACATTTGCGGCGAGTACAATAAACGACACATCCTGTACGCTTAAACTCGTATTGTTAGATCTCTGTCCTGCTTTCTCTCACAATTATTTCCGGTACGTAAATGTATACCTACTTAAGCGATAACAGCATTATGAATGAAACAAAATAAACGTTTTAAAGTCTGTCAACATTTTTCCATTGCGATATAAAATTTACAATCTATGAAAGGAAGATAGTTAATTTTTAAATAATTTTTCAGTAAATTTTAAAGATTAATCACTATTACTATTAGCAGTTCTTAATCTTGGATACTTATGGAAAACATATGGTTAAGAATGAATTATATTATATGTTCATTAAATACCGTTAGGAAGCTAAAAGAATTAGGAACATGCTAAGTGTGTTGTGTACTTATTAACTCAACCAAGTTTTTAAATATATACATGAAATAAAATCAACGACCATTATCCATGTCCCATTATCCAATACGAAAAATTTAAATTGCTTTAAACTGATTCGACAAGGAAAATTGTTTCCCAATGAAATATATTATAATAATTTATGTAAATTTATATATTCTGTAATAAAATATACCTGAAAATAGAAGAGGATAACAGAATGATTATTAAATATTATTTAAAATATTATAAATAAGACTTTATTATAAAATATTATAAATAATACTTTATTATTGTCCTCTAAGTGATACTGTTTTCGTTAAGTGTTGTCATATGTATTCTAAATGAGATTCTCTTGTGTTTTTTTTGCCCATATAATATAATTTTACTTTTAAGAACAATTCAATAATTGTTTTAAGCATTTCGTATTTATGTTGTTTAACAAATCCTTGTCTTTAATGTGGGCATTCAAATTTTGAAATAAACTTTCAATATTTAAATTTCTCATGACAGAAATGGTAATTTTTGAAAAACATTTCTTGTTTTTAATTTGTTTTCAATTCTATAAATGTTAAACATTTCTTCTGTAACAGTTATAGTCGAATAAGTATCTTTTCTTGGATATCTCAAACCACCAAGGATTTTTGTACGAATCAAAATTGAATATGCTTCTATTGAAGAGTTCTGTTCAAGAGTTTGATGCATGCGCAGCAGGTAAGTTTCTTTACAGTGTGCATTTCAACAAACCCTGTGTCATATACCATGGTGTGCTGTTGAATCAATAAATTCGATAGGAATATCTTCAATAGTTTTCACATCTTCAACATCTTCTTCAAAAAGTTCCGTAAAGCTCTTCTTAATTCTTTTAGAAGATATTGTCAAGATTCGATACCATTTTTCGCAAACTTAAAGCACCTTCTGGCCATTCGAAGTGATCAAAGCTTGCACCCATTGCTCTCAAAGTTGAGTACTGCTTGGGAACTTGAAAAATATAAATGTTTATCTTTACTTGATGGTACAGTTAAATGGTTAATAATTAAAGGCAGTTTATCATGTTGATTAAAAATAATAATATATACAAATTAAATATGAATGCAAGGCAGAAAACCCATGAAATTGGGTAATAAGTGCAAGATAAACTAGTTTTCGAGGTTAGGTTAAAATAAATGTACAACTTACATATTATAATGATACACATTTCGAATCAGTTGCTTCTTTTGCTTTATATCTTGTGTTTTTACACAATTCTATAAAAGAATAACGAACCATTGTTTCAGTTCTAGTACTTTATATCTTATGAGTGGTTATTAGTTCTTAGCTTGGCCGCTTTTGGGACATGGCGTCGCCACCGGTCTTGGAATGCAAAATGGCGGCCATTAGCAGTCTATAGGTATACAGGATGTTCCAAAACTGTTGGAGGTCCTTGAAAGGGGTGATTCGGGGGATGATTTAAAACAACTTTTTCCTTAGTGAAAATGTCCGGGGTTTCGTTATGGAGATATTAAGGGAAAACGTCGACCAATCAGAGCGCGAGTATGCCGGTGGAGCCTAGGCGGCCGCGCTGATTTGCTCTGCCGCACGCGGTAGCCCGAACCCCGCGACCAATCAGAGCGCGAGTATGCCGGTGGAGCGCGTAGCCTACGCTACCGCGAGCGCTCCATTGGCATACTCGCGCTCTGATTGGTCGACGTTTTCCCTTAATATCTCCTTAACGAAACCCCGAACAACTGTTTTGCAAAGGAAAAAGTTGTTTCAAATCATCCCCCGAACCTCACCTTTCAAGGACCACCGCCATTTTTAGGGCACCCTGTATATCTTCATATTTCTATGTTCTCAGCACGGATAGTACTATACATAGTTACCTACGTAGTAACCAATAGTGACATAGGGTGATATAGTATCAAACAGAACAGGTATATTTCAGTATATTTGTAATTGTTTGTAATCGTACAGAATATTTTCAACATTATGTGTCCGATAAAATTAGAAACGATGCTTTTATCGACAAAATCTTTATCAGTTGCTTCAAAGCTGTGATAAAATGTAATTACAGTAAGTGGTAAGTTCATAAAGAAAAAGATAAAATAATAATTTAAATCTTTAACTTTTTAAAAATTCTTATCCTTATAGTAATAACTTAATGTGCCATCAGGAAATACAGAAATAATCGTGAGCGATTGTTTCAGCGTAAAATGCAACGTCGAACGTGGGACGAGTGTTTGTCTAGGAATTTTAACTTGATTTGAAGTTTGATTAAATTTTGACGCGACACGAGGATTTCCACAAATAAAGAACTTCCAGCTAAACACATTTGTACGAATAATAGTCAATGAGAAAAATGTTCAAGTTTCTGGTACGTTTAAATAAACATTTTTATTATTACTGTTTCCTACGCATAAAAAAAAAAGTAAAAATATTGTTTTTTCATTAGATAACCTTAGGTGTGGGAGTCTATGCTGGTATATACATAAGTCAAAATTATGAGGTATGTTCAAAAACGTTTGTCATTTTTTAATGTAACATAAAGAATTAACTAAGTAACGAAACGTCTACTATGTATACAAAGTAATTTTCTGTTCCAGGTACCTCGTGTGGATGATCCTTCTAAAATAATCGAACGGATAAAGCAATTTGCAGATGAATATAAAAAAAAGTAATAACTAGCAGTAATTTATCTAACGACACATATATCTATATAAATATATGTAAATATACATATATATTATGTTTACGGAATACATTTAAATAAGATGTATTGTACAATTTATATAAGTATGTAACGCATAATTATAATGCATAGTCCTTTTGATTTTATTTAATAAAACATTTTCATGTAGTGTACCGTAACTTTTTATAATTTATGGGCAAAGTAACATATACCTAAATTTACAACAGTTATCTTCCTTAAGTATGTATGTAACATTTTCAATTTAACTCTGTCTTACGTCATACATATATAAATCCACCACCGGAATACTCCAATCGTGCTTGAGGTTCCACGAATGCCAACCAATCTGATGCATGCGTTGGTAGTAATCCCATCGACTGACATTTGTACAATGCCAATGCGATGTTTACCAGTTGTCCAAGAAAGTATACAAACTTTTGACCAAATGCATGAGTTCCTTCGATTACTTTAAATGCTATAAAAACAATTCGACAAATGTTCTAAACAACTTTATATAAATGTCAAATTTACTATTAAATAGAAATATATAAATCCCAAAAAAGAATTGTACAAGTTTGTTAGATTTTTAATAAACAATATATACAAAGTTTCAATCGAAAGATGTGAAACCATATAAATTAAATAATTTTAAATACATAAATACAGTTCTAATTTTTTTAAATAGTTGAATAAATATATATATCTGAAAAACCATGAAAGATAGGCTTTTCAGATTTTGTATACAGATTAATAAAATATCTGAGACTACTATATATCTGACAACTACGATTAAATTAAAACTTGAAATATGACAAAAATAATGACCTTAATTTTATTAAGTTGTAATAGAAAAAGAGAAATCACAGTGAGAAGCAAATCAATAACATCTAAAGGTCAACGCTAGTCCAAACGTTCAGGCTTAAGGAGATCTATAGAAGGATAAAGCTCGAAAAACACTAGTTTAAACTTTCTCATAAGCAATAAAAAAAAAAACTACAGTACTAAACTATGAACTTACTATATACAGTCAGTGTAAGAAGTATTTGTACAGCGATCAATTTAAAATAAATGTTTCTTGTACGAATACTTATTACACTGACTGTATGTTACAATTTTTACTTTCATTTAATCAAAAAATTTGTCTACATATATAAGGTGTTCTATGAGCTATAATATTAACAGGTAGAATTTAATAGTATTTAACAGTATTTGAATTTAATAGTATATATGAAAATCTAATATCACGTTAGATTAGAACACCCTATATAAGCACATATATTTGTCCGCATTCATACTTACTTTGTTGAAGAGTAAATAATGCTTTCACTGGCCTAATGATCAGCATACTGACCATCATAATAGGAAATATTGCTATAGAATTACCCGCCATGTACATAATGAATAAATTCATCGGAACTTGTTTCAAAGGACCTAAAGCTAGATCCCATGATTTTTTTATTATCAAGTGATTGGAATCAGTCTCTCTAATAGAATCGGCTGCATGAAACAAAGCAACTGCCGGTGTGTAACCTGGCGGAGAAGGGATGTCCACATTTTTGTCCTGCTTGTTTCTATGACAGACAATGTTATGGGTTTCATAATAATTATAATAATTAAAACAGTTATAGTGTTACTACTATATATATAACGAGAATCATTCTGTTATAAATAGTTGTTGACACAGTATTAATATATACATAATACTATAAAATTTGACTTTCAAATAGGTTTTTACTGCAGTGAGTAACTTCAATATTTCAATACTTTACAATTTTTTTACAGAAAATAGAACACGAAGAGTTTCATTTGTTGAATATTGGGTATTCAAAAAAGTTTGTGGCATTTCTCAAGCATTTGCACGATTTCATTGCATTGTACTGTGATTGGTCAACCACAGCATTATGCATCTTTGACATCAAAGTTTGATGGAGAATTTGGCTGTAAACAGCACAAATTTTTTCACAAGCCTGCATAGCATTCTTGCTTTGATCGAAGCGATATTGTAAAATGTAGTGAATTTTCTCATTATTTATCTTCGTGTTCAAGATGTTATATGAAAACAAAATAAAAATTGTTAAGTGTATATGGATGTCAAAATTATTCACTGTAATGTAAATAAAGACATGCTACTGCAATACCAATGAAAATAATATATCATAACCTGTATCCTTCATAATTCAATTCTTCATTGTCATCAAAAATCAACAATAATTATTATTACATTAAATTTCTGCAACTAATACCATAAGATGCACAGAAATTTAAGAAACATTCATACTGTTTAATACATTACAAGATATGATACTAACTAGTAGTGGGAGTGGATGTAATTAAAAAAAAAATGGAAATTTGAAAGTATGGTTATTTACTTGTGAGCAAAATCCAGAGCCCATTTGGATCGTTTTGTGTTTTGTTTAACAGCCATCATTACCATTACACGTAGTTTATACTTTTGTATTATTAATGTTTTTTTTTTCTATACTGTATACCACTTCGTGATAGATACATTTAGGCAATAAATACAATATGGTTGCGACCATACAGTGATTGGATTATTTAGACAGGCACCGCTCAGTGAGCCGCTCAGTAAGCCGCTCTGCGAGGGCTCATAGAGCGGATGAGCTTGAACATTTTTCGCAGAGATGGAAAAAACCCTAGGCTTTGATTTAATCTGAAGTTTGTCGATGTTTTATCTAGTTTCTTTCTTTGGAAAATGTTGAAAAGAGGAAATGAGACAAACATATGGGCAAACTTAAAATTTATTTGAAGCCTAGGGTTTTGCCCATCTCTGCTTCGGACTATACAGGGTGATCCAAAAATGTTGGAAGTCATTGAAATGGATGGTTCGGGAGGTGATTTGAAACAACTTTTTCCTTAGCGAAAATGATGTCAAGGCTTCGTTAAGGAGATATTAAGGGAAAACGTCGACCAATCAGAGCACGCGGCCGCCTCGCGCTTTGATTGGTCGACGTTTTCCCTTAATATCTCCTTAACGAGGCCTCACACAACATTTTCGCTAAGGAAAAAGTTGTTTCAAATCACCCCCCGAACCAATTTTACCTTTCAAAATTAATTAAACTGAGAAAATGACTTATGATAATATTATAATAAACACATATTAAGACTTTGTTTCAATTATACAAAAATTTATCTATTTCTTATATACTTTGGCGGTTTTCTTTTTTTCTTTACTCGTAGAATGTTCTCTATTTCTTATTCTTGCTACTTGTAATGCATGGAGTAAGCAACAGTGTCTTCTTTATGGCTTACACATGGGAAAGAACTAGTTGCTAGTTACTAATAACTAGTTACTAATAACTAGTTACTCATAACTAGTCACTCATAACTTGTGCCTAGTTACTAATAACTAGGTACTAATAACTAGTTACTCATAACTTGTGCCTAGTTACTAATAACTAGTTACTCAGAACTAGTAACTAGTTACTAGTTGCTGATACCCAGTTACTAGTTACTAGGATAGAGCTCAATGGTAATACACCCATTGTTTCTTCAAAACACGTGTCTGTTTATCATAACCTAAAATTCATCTGTCATCACTGTCTTAATGATCAAGACAGAACTAGAATATTATCATAGAAACAGAAATACATATTAATAGTCAAAAATGCTAAGAAGACAAGCAAGGCTTCGTAGGGAGTATCTCTACAGAAAGTCAGTTCAAGACAAATTGAAAAGCATACAAGAGAAAAAAGAGAAACTGAGGCGTAGCCTGGAAGAAAATATTCCCATACATCCAAATCTAAGAAAGGATGCTTTACAAATACAGAAGAGACTGGAATGGGAAGACGCAGGTCCAGAACTGGCTGTGGCCTTGGGAACAGAGACTGGAGGAGCTTTAGGATCCCACGAAGACGATGAGTATCGTTGGGCAGGAGTTGAAGATCCAAAAATTGTGATCACTACCTCTCGTGATCCAAGTTCTAGGTTGAAAATGTTCGTCAAGGAACTGCGGTTGATATTTCCCAATTCGCAAAGGATGAATCGAGGAAACTATGAAATGAAGCAGCTCATACATGCCTGTCGGGCGAATGACGTTACAGATTTCATAATCGTGCACGAGCACAGGGGTGTACCCGACTCTCTGGTCATTTGTCACCTGCCATATGGGCCCACAGCGTACTTTACAATGTCAGATGTTGTTATGAGGCATGACATACCCAATATCGGAACAATGTCGGAGCAATATCCCCATTTAATTTTCCACAATTTCAAAACAAAGTTGGGTACACGAGTCACTAACATTCTGAAGTACCTGTTTCCTGTACCGAAGGAAGACAGCAAGAGAATAATTACTTTTGCGAATCACGACGACTACGTATCGTTTCGGCATCATACGTACAAGAAGGTCAATGGAAAAGACATAGAATTAACAGAAGTCGGACCAAGGTTTCAGTTGAAACTGTACGAAATCAAATTGGGCACGTTAGATGCGGAGACTGCTGCAGACACAGAATGGGCTCTGAGGCCCTACATGAATACTACCCACAAACGAAGATTCTTGTCCAACGAAGACGGTTGGCAACAGGAAGATGATATTTAACTTTCTAGTACTTGAATTATTCGAATAAATATTCTAACAATGTAAATAACAAGCTTTATTTTACATTATACATTATACATTCTTGATTTTATTTTACATTATACATTATACATTATACACTCTTGATTTTATTTTATTTTATTAAAATAAATATTCTAACAATGTAAATAATAAGCTTTCGTGTCAAACATTGTAAACCTAGCTTAAGCTGTAATTTATAATTATGGTAATAATTATATATATATATATATATATATATAATAATATAAATTTCTAATAATATAGATGTAGTGGTTTTGCCAATTTATTCGATTGTAAACAGTTTTATATATACATGGATTAAATAATATTAATTTTTAATAATACATTCAGTCTTTTCAAATGTTCTAATTTATTTATAACCAAATTTTGTATTGTATTAGATGCATAAGCCGCGTTATACGAAATTCTATACAGGGTGTCCCAAATATGTTGTAACATCTTGAAAGGGGTGGTTCGGAAGGTGATTTGAAACAACTTTTTCCTTAGCTAAAATGTTGTCCGCGGCTTCGTTGAGGAGATATTAACAGAAAACACTGACCAATCAGCGGCCGCTCCATTGGCATACTCGCGCTCTGATTGGTCGGGGAGCACGCCCGCCATGGGCTCTAATTGGTCGAGGAGCGTGGCCGCCTCGCGCTATGATTGGTCGCTCCACCAGCGTACTCGCGCTCTGATTGGTCGGGGTTTTCCGTTAATATCTCCTCAACAAAGCTTCGGACAACATTTTCGCTAAGAAAAAAGTTGTTTCAAATCATCCCCTGAACCACCCTTTTCAACGACTTCCAACATTTTTGGAACACTCTCTATAAATAAAATGATCGAACAGCATAGAGATTTTGAAATTTCGCGCGTCGCCGAGATGCGCGTGCGAGATGTGCAGTAGTGCCCTCCAGTTTTCTCCATGGCAGTTGTTTTTAAAAACGTCACACGAATAAAACGAAGGATTCCACGGATTTAACGAAGGAGTTTAGCTCCCGTAAAAGGGAAAAAAAACGAAATTTCGTCAGATGAGCACTTTTTGTAAGGTCGAAAAAAGCTCGCTGTGCCGCGATGCAAACTAACGTTCGTAAGCCCGCGAAATCCGAGAAGACGCCACGGCGCAAGAAGCTCGCCACGGAGCAACAGAGCGCCGCTATGGATATGTTCGTAACACCGAAACGTCAAAAGAGTGACGGTGAGATCAGCATTTATTTAATAAGGAAAGATATATCGTAGATCAGTTGCTTGTATTGCTCGTGTACGCTTGCAGTTTTTCTGCATGATTGTCCGCGTACAGTAGTTAATTTGTCGATTTACTTGGCGATATTTTGGTCCGAGCTGAGTTTTCGTTACTAGCGCTTTTTCTTCGACGCGGTCAACCCTGGAACTAACATCTACAATATTTTCTAGGTTATGTTTTCCTTTTTCGAATTCAATCAAACAAAATTATACACTGATGCGATTAAATGAAATCTTTGTTATGAAATACATATGAACCCTGGCACTTTTCACTAATTTTCGAAATCACAATTCTATATATATATATATAGCAAATATTAAGTTCATATAGTTTTCTAATTTTTGTTGTGAATGTTACAGGCAAATAGAAGTATTAAAGTTTTATATATATACCAGTTTGTAGCTCTTGTATTGCTCTCTCATATTCGGAATTAAGTACTAACATTTATACATTCCTGATTTTATTTTGAAAATTGAAATTCTTTCTCCGTTGCTAAGTAGAGAAATTTTCAATACTCTCAAATTAAATACTAACAAACATTTATATATTGCCGATTTTATTTTGAAAATTGACATTTTTCCTCCATCGTTAAATAGAGAAGTCTTAAATGCTCTCAAATTAAATACTAACGAACATTATACATTATACATTCTTGATTTTATTTAATATTATACGTTATACATTCTTATTTATACATTATACAGTCCTGATTTTATTTTGAAAATTCAAATTCTTTCTACATTGTTCAGCTGAGAAGTCTTCAACACTCTAAAATCAAGTACGTCAATTAAATGATACTTGTCACAAGCTATATTAACTTCTTAAAAAAGTTCCAAAGTCCTATTTCCGATACCATCATAAAAAGAATTCCAATTTCCATGATATTTCTAAATTAATAAAATCAAAAATAGACAATCACAGTATTTAATATAATACGGTATAACAGTGCAATTGAAGAACATGTATAATATGAAACTTAAATACTTTTATTTAGTTTAAACATTCATTCTGAAAGAAGCTAGAAAGAAGAAATGAAAATCAAAACAAAATTAGAATCCTATTCGAATAAATTGTCTTTAAACTATAATCCTACACATTGCATTCATATTGAATTATATATGGAAAGTACAATTAAGATTGCAATAAAACACCAAGCACTTCTCGATTTGCTTAAATATTAAATCTATCTTTTCCCCATAAAGTAGACACAAATCAACTTGAACTAATTTTTGGGAATACGATTGTATACCAACTATATTGCAAACAGAAACATCAACACCCAGAAAGAATTGCTTGCGTTTCAATCAATATCACATGATACTCTTCTCAATAAAATCTTCCTCTGAGACATACCACATTTATATACAATCTTCTTACAAAGCATACAAGAGACTTTCCTCGCACTTAAACATAACATTCAATCTAAAAGAATGTTATTCTACCAAACGTTTAATGTATCCATAAGAAAACACTAAGTGCAGTAAACTATGTTTGGATGTTCACGATACGTTGTTATGTTTGCATATATATCTATCTTGACTCCCCCGATTGCTGTGAGAGTGGTAGTTAGCCCCTGAAAATGTATATTGGTCCCTTTCTCTTTCTTGGCAAGGTGCAGTCCGCTTTATCTTTCAGATCTAGAGGTCACTGGTATCTCCCGCAGTGGCCGTGTCAGAAAGAAATCATCCAAACTCGTTGACTTTGAATCACCAGATGATTTTACGGATAAGAAGTACAAACTACAGAAGGTTCAGCAATTACAAGCTCAACAACTGTTGGACAGATATGAGACGCAGCATATGTCACCCAGCCATTCCATACAACATGGAAGTGGTGGGAGGCAGAGGAAAAATTCTAGTTCCAGTTCCGGACAGCAAAGAATCAAAACAGAGACATTGTCCGATAACGAAGGCCAGTCGTCTGGATCTGAATCTGACGATCCAAGTGGACTGAACGAATATGAAAGATACAGTATGGATTCTGTGAGTGACGATGACATAGATCCTCTCATGATAGATGACAGAGAGGCAGGATTCAGAAAGCTCGAACCACCTGGTCAGGAAACTCCTTCACAAGCGAACAGTTTGTACATGCTTGAGAAATGTAAAAAAAAACTGATTATCAAAGATGGGAAAATAATTGGTAGAATGAAGGCACAGCGAAAAGACAAAGGGGTATGTACGAAATGAAAGTTACTAAGGAGGTTATTATACGATTCAATGATGTTCTTTTTAGAAAACAAGATTCACCGCTTACATGTTGTGGGCTAAAGAGATTAGGCAAGAGTTACTCGAGCAATGTCCTTACATGGGTATTTAAACTTTCATTGTTTCTCTATGATCGAATGGAGCCAACGAACAGTGCTAATATGATATTTGTGAAAAATTTTTGTAGATTTTGCAGCTATTTCTAAACGTTTAGGAGAACTGTGGGCTACGGTTCCGAATCTGGAAAAGTATAACTGGCGCAGACGCGCGAAACGCTTGGCAGCGAAGCCTCACTCTTTACCACCGAGTAAAGATGAGCCAGTTTGGAAAATGCCGCCGCCAGCCTCGCGAAAAAAGTTCATTAACAAAATTGGTGGGTTTGTTGGTTCTCATGTATTCATCATTTTTCACGAGTACGTCGTTAAAGTTACGTGGGTAGCTCGTTCATCCTAATTTGCTTCTCGTGCACGCGTATTAGACGAACATTGATCGGGCAAATTATTGTTTTCTATTTTTTTTTTATGGCTAAAGTTTATCTAGTAGATGTTTCATCCTCATTTGTTTTGTATGCATGCATCTTTAGAGGTAGAACCCATGAACAGTAAGCTGTGGCATTTTAGAGTGACATTTTTTTAGAGAAACTGATAGCAGGAGGTGAAACAAACATTTTTGGTGCAAGGAAACAATTTTAAAAATACGATTTTCTATTTGGAATACAGTGGGTGTAGAATGTATTCCTACACCAATCAATTTTTCAAAAAACTTTTGTGTGAAATTGTAGTTTCTTAACTTCTCTTTTTATATTCAATGATTACAAACAACATTTATTAGTTAATGTAATTTGTGAAATTGACAAAAAAATGGGAAAAGTGGGTAAAAGTATGGAAGCAATAAGTATTTGTATGATTCTTATGACGAACCATTTAGAGTAGAGTTTATTGCTCCGTAGGAATTAGAAAACATCAAATTTTTAGTAAATTACTTTTAAAAATGGCTCTAATAGAGGAATCGAAGAAGATCCCACTTCGAACAACTAATAATTTAGTTAATTTAATGCTTCGAAGAGTTGCAATAATTATAAAATCAAAAGGAAATCCCTACGAAGGAAGTATTATGTGTATACTTATAATGTAATATATATATGTATTTTTTTTTTTTAATGAAGTTTTAAAAATTAAACAGTTGTGCGAATACTTATTCCTTCAATATTTCTATCGATTAATTGTTTCTTTTTTTTGTTAATTTCATAACTTACATAAATAGCTATTTTCTTTGGTACTCTATCTATTCTAGAGATTGTGAGAATATGTAGAATGTCATTGTTTATCAAAAATAAGTTAATAAAACAATTTTACAAAAATTACATTTTTTGGAAATTGATCAGTGTGCGAATACTTTCTACACCCACTGTATACGTGGGTAAATGTTTCTCTTCCTTTCAAGAATATTTTTAGAAATACACAGATTTGTAGGGGATATGATCTACAAAAAAAAAAATATAGATGTCGAATTGAGTAACCTCTTTCTTTTCGAAGTCGGTTAAAAAGTATTGTGAATCGAGTTTGTATGGCCAGCACTTCTCGAATTATAAAGCTTGATATACAATTTTTAATTGGAACTGGTGTGAAATCATACAGAAAACCAGTCTTTTGGAAATAATTCACAAAATACAGTCAGCGTAATAAGTATTCGTACAGGAACCATTTATTTTAAATGGGTACGAATACCTTTTACACTGACTTATTGTTTAGTTTAATATTATACAAGAAAGCTTCTCTTTAGTGAATTAAAATACATATTTCTCTTGCAGACATTCCTTTTTTTAACGTACCAGAAATTTTCAAAAAATTAGTTTCTCGCAAGTAACTCAGGAAATTTTAATTTTGAATTCAAAGTACTACCCATAATACATCAGATAATTCATACAAATATATTATGAATCTCTTTTCTCATCTTGCAACGATATTCACTCAAATTTCATACGTCTCTTGCAGACATTCGTTTTGTAACGTACCAGAAATTTCCAAAAAATTAGTTTCTTGCAAGTAACTTAGGAAATTTTAATTTTGAATTCAAAGTACTACCCATAATACATCAGTTAATTCATACAAATATATTATGAATCTCTTTTTTCATCTTGCAATGATATTCACTCAAATTTCAACAAGTTCTTCAAGTATATTTCAAATGGAAAATCGTATTTCTCAATGAATATAGTTTGTAATGGAGATACAAATTTTTACCTTCCACGAAAATGTTTGTTTTATTATCATCACTTAAAAATATTGCTGTAAAATGACACATCCTGACAAACAGTCTGACGAAAATAGAGCATTTTATGGTATTCTTTTGTTTCTTCAATTCCAGGTAATGGGAAAGAGCAAAAACCAGCTACCTCGAAAAAGACTATACAGCTAGGCCTACCGTCCGTTGTAGGAAACGTACCAGTGTCTCCACCGTCGAATCGAACAGGGAAAGACTTGGTTAACGAGCCCATGATAGGCACAGGAATGTACAAAGTTGTTGGAACACAGCCTATAGACGTAGCTGCCCATTTAAAGCTTCTTGGCGAGAGTTTGACCATCATTGGCGAACGATTGAAAGAACACGACGGGCAGATAGCTGTTTCGGGCAGTCTGTCGGTTCTCCTGGACTCTTTACTCTGCGCTCTAGGTCCCCTGATCTGTCTCACCCAACAGATCCCAGAAACCAACGGAGCCAAACACGAAACACTCTCTCAAATGCTCGACAATATCGCCTACCTTATGCCTGGTTTATAATGCATGGAAAACTGGAAAACACTGGAAAACTATTCTGTAATAATCCACACTGTGTATATATATGTATATATATGGAGGATTGTATCAAATATTGCACAAAGATACGAACTCGAAATTTTCGATGTTAATTTCTCATGAAATTCTGGTAAAATATGACGAAACAAAGAAAAAACGCCCTTGTTAAACCCTCTGAGTCTATAATTAATTGTAATATGCAGTGGGCAAGATTTAGAGCTCAACATTATTTATTAATGTAGAAATATATAAAAACAACGAATTAAAAGAATACAGTCAGCGTAATAAGTATTTGTACAGGAACCATTTATTTTAAATGGATTGCTGTACGAATACCTTTTACATTGACCGTATTGGTTTTTCAAATATTATACAATTTGTACAGGAACCATTTATTTTAAATGGATTGCTGTACGAATACCTTTTACATTGACCGTATTGGTTTTTCAAATATTATACAATAAAGCTTCTCTGTGGTTCGCCATTTTTGAAGAATTCAGAAAATTTCCAACAGAAAATGTAGTTCTGCTTTCTCCCTTCTGTATTATTTTTCTACATTAATAAATAAGTAGAATAAATTTATTTCTAAATTTTGACCACTCAATTATGGACTTGAAGGGTTCAACGATGTCTCTTTTTCTCTGTCTGATTGTATTTTACCTGATCATATTTTATTAATCTGATATTTTACCTAATCTGTATTATACCAGAACTCGATGGAAAATCGACAGTTAATTCGTACAAATAAATTATGAATCTCTTTTTTCATCTTGTAACCATATTCACTGAAATTTTAATTAAAATTTCAACCATTTTCCAATTTGATGGAAGATCGACAGAAAATTTGTAGAGCGCGTCTTTGTTCAATATTTGAGAGGATCACATACACATTCGTACACATACACGCGTGCTCGCTAGAAGTTATAGTCAGCGATGTTTCTGAATGGATAAACGCGACAACAGGAGAAACACGAGGTCGACGACTTTGTTATATCGCGTCTGCTTGTGAAAGTATAATATTTTATATAAATAACATGTTTGTACAAAAATATAATAAATATTTAAATAGTTCGATTATAACTAACTGTACAGGATGAATAATCACGAGGTTTTTATTGTTGGTCCGGTAGGATGCGAGGACAAGTGCAGAACAAATTCTTATCGCCGTATATGTCGTCTATTCGGCCAACGCTTGGCCAAATCTTGTTTCCTCTCACGAACGACTGAAACAATTTAATTTAATATAACAAGCATATTCTAATTTTTATTCTAATTACCGTTACTATTTGTTACTAGCATCGACTGAAAGTGCTTAAAATACTTACTGAAGGAAATGCTGCTAATTCTCGCGAATAAGGTCGATCCCAAGTACTCGAAATCACTTGTTCTTGAGTGTGGGGCGCCATTTTTAATGGATTCTTTGCAATATCTAACTTTCCAGTTTCGATATCGCTAATTTCTTGCCTTACAGCTACAAAACAAAATACAAATTATTTAGATTAATGTTTTAGATTATTTAAATTGTTTAAAATGATTATTCGATAAGAAGAATATCTAACTTTCAAGCTTCAACATCACTAATTTCTCACAGCTACAAAATAAAATACAAACTATTTGAAATTATTATTCGATAAGGAACATAGTAATCTTACAAATAAGAGCGTTGCAGAATCTATCCAATTCCCCCTTGTCCTCAGATTCAGTCGGTTCTATCATTAACGTGCCTGCCACAGGCCAGCTCATCGTAGGAGCATGGAAACCATAGTCCATCAACCTCTTTGCTATGTCTGCAGCCTCAACATTGGCTGTTTTCTTGAAATCTCTCACGTCCAAGATGAACTCGTGGGCTACCAACCCAGTCTTTCCTTTGTACAGAGTCTTGTAAAACTTCTCTAATCTCTTGCTCATGTAGTTGGCGTTGAGAATAGCGACCTGAGTGGCCTTCCTCAACCCTTTTGGGCCCATCATCTTGATGTAGGCCCAGGAAATTGGTAAAATGGCTGACGAACCAAAGGGGGCAGCTGACACTGCGCCAGATTGTTTCACATTGTTGATGCCATTGGTGGCGCAGTTAATTACAGGATGAGATGGAAGAAAAGGGGCGAGATGTCCTTTACTGCAAATAAAATAATATAATAATCACCTGCCATTTAACCTAAAATATCTCTGTTAATTTGAATGGCATGGAAAAATTGTTTCGACAGAAACTCTACGGTTTCTAGTTTTTCTCATGGACCAGGGTATTTTTAATATTGTAGCTGATGGAAAAGCGAATTCAAAGGTGTATAATAAGGTTGAGAAGAGTGACTGTTAAAAAACCAAAGTCTTTTCATTAGCTACAATGCTACTATGTTAAAAATAATACTCCATTTCATTAAAAAAAAATATTGATGACCTTGAAATTTTGCTAAATATAACCTTAAGATACTTTTTCTGCATATGGCAATATTGTCCCCTAGAAACTGAAGAGTTTCTGTCCAAACAAATTTTCAATATCATTAAAAATAACAAAGATACTTCAGGTTTGACTCTCCTAGATTTCTTAATAATAACTTCTCTCCAAGATCACCTGAAGGTCACCTTATTCTACACCTCTGAATTCGTCTTCTCATTAGCTACAATGTTACAATATTGAGAATATCCCATTTAAGTTCCATTTAAGAAAACATTAGTATGATCTAGTTCTAACCAAACATCTTTTTTCTAAAACATCTCTTCGAAATTTTATTTACAAATCTTCGGTGACTCACGCTGTATATTAGTTTTATTATAAAGTGCACTTATTACTGTATTACTATTACTGTATTTTTCCTATTTACACCAACACTACTTACACTCCGATGGGTCCCATTCCTGGTCCTCCACCTCCATGAGGAATGCAAAATGTCTTGTGTAAATTCAAGTGTGATACATCACTGCCATAATCACCTGGACGACACAGTCCAACCTGAGCATTCATATTAGCTCCGTCTAAGTACACCTGACCCCCAGCCTGATGAACCATGAAGCAAATGTCACCAATGGTCTCTTCGAACACACCATTCGTAGATGGGTAGGTTATCATCAAACAAGACAACGTTTCTCTGTGTTTGTCAATCATCTCTGTTAAATGCGCAATGTCTACAGAACCGTCTTTCCGCACCAGGATAGGTTTCACTTGCATGCCAGCCATCTGAGCAGAAGCAGGGTTCGTACCATGAGCTGAGATAGGGATCAAGCAGACTTGCCGATGCTTGTTTCCATTGGACTCATGGTAGCATTGTATAGCTCTCAACCCAGCATACTCTCCTTGAGCTCCACTATTCGGTTGGAAACTTATGTTGTCGTAGCCAGTTATGGCACACAGATCCCTCTCCAGTTCTGCGAACAACTGTTGGTACCCTTTGGCTTGCTCGATAGGAACAAAAGGATGGATGTCTGTGAAACCTGGTAAGCTGCAAGGCATCATCTCTGTTGTGGAATTCAGTTTCATCGTACAGGATCCCTGTTGACATAATTATAAATGTAATTTAGTAACTAATTGCGTTTAACAATTAAAACCAATTTATACAAAGAATTTACCAGTGGTATCATACTGTGCACAAGAGACACATCTTTATTTTCTAAAGATTTCATGTATCGGACTATCCTTGTTTCAGACCGATGACTGTTGAACACAGGATGCTGCAAAAATGATGTGGTGCGAGCAAATTGGGACTTATTTAGGCTTTTATCCATGCAAGATTCGTCCCGACATACATCCTCGACTGTTGTTTCAGCACAAAATACCTTGTAAATATCATTCACATCCTGAACTGTAGTGGTCTCATCCAGAGATATACCAACCCCATCATTGTAGTACCTGAAGAAGTCACTAGCATTTTATCAACTGCGAAAACCACAACTAATTACCTCAAGAATATTCACTGCGAAAGCATTCAGACATTCAGTGACCGGTTACCTGAAGTTTATCTTAAGTGCAGCTGCATTTTCCTTTATACTTTTTATAGGCACCATAGGCACTACTTTGATGGTATCAAAGAAGTATTGGTTCTCTACTTTATTCCCAGCATCCTCTAAGCCTTTCGCAAGAATCAGAGTCAGGTTGTGTACTCTGTTCGCTATGTTCTTTATTCCATCAGATCCATGGTACACCACATACATTGCAGACATGTTAGCCAGCAATGCTTGCGCAGTACAAATGTTGCTAGTGGCTTTATCGCGTCTGATGTGTTGCTCACGCGTTTGGAGGGCTAAACGATAAGCATCCTGACCGTTCGAGTCCTTCGTGACACCGATCATTCTGCCAGGCATCAGGCGCACCAGTTTTTCCCTGCACGCGAAGAATCCAGCGTGAGGTCCTCCGTATCCAAGCGGTACACCGAAACGTTGACTCGTGCCAACGCATATGTCGACTCCAAATTCGCTCGGTGGTCGTAGTATTGCCAGTGCCAATAAGTCGGTAGCTGCACAGACTAGCGTCTGGAATAAAAGTCTCACTTCAACTTTTTTAATTTCATTTGTTTGGGAATAAATAATGTTATTCGATGCACCTATTTATTTTAAATAACAGGTGTTTCAAATATATTATTTTATATAAATTTGTCTAAGGTTGACGTACACCATCCTCATGCACCCTCTTCACAAAGTCCTCGAAACAGTAAATAGATCCAGTGGTATCCGGATACTGTGCAAGAACTCCAGCAATATCCTTCGCACCAGTGTCAATTTGAAAAACATCACCAATTTCCATTTGGAGGCCCAGAGAACTGGCACGTGTAGCAATCACGCTGATCGTTTGAGGATGAACTTTGTCAGACACAAACAGCTTTTTTCTTTTGTTTTTTCTGTAAGCTAGAGCCAGGGCTTCGGCAGCTGCTGTGCCTTCGTCTAGAAGGGACGCATTTGCTACTTCCATTCCAGTTAAATCGCATATCATTGTTTGGTAATTCAGTAAACCTTCCAGCCTGCCTTGAGAAATCTCTGGCTGGTACGGTGTATATTGCGTTGTCCTATAATGAAACTTGATTAACTTCTACGATCATCTTAAATCTTTTGAAAATTATGGTCCGGTGTATCTCACCATCCTGGATTTTCGAATATGTTTCTCAAAATAGTATGAGGAACGCAGCAATTATGATAGCCCATGCCAATGTAGGAACGCCATACATCATTCTTCTCAGAAATATTTGTGATTCTCTTCAATAATTCATACTCCGCTGAAATAAAATAAGTATCACATGTAATCATTGAAAAAAAGTATGAAATATTTGTATATATTCTTCTCAGAAATATTTTTTTTTTTTATATATATAATCATTGAAAAAAAGTATGAAATGAAATAAGTCGACAATAAATAGGACCATGATCTCGGGTTTCTACTTTGTAAATC